TGGAAATCAGTTTTAATTGCTATCGATTCGGTGCAGATGATGCGCTGCGTGCAGCACTAATCGATGCCTGTTCTAATTATAGAACTTTTTTCCACGGTACCGATTTCGCGGTTGACGTTGACGGGTGATGTGATGCGTCATAGATCGCGCATCTTGCATACTGCATGGAGGAGGCTCTCCCACAACAGGACGACTCCCTCATTCACTCGTATCCATTTCCCTTCCATTTGCTGGCTGAGTCATTGTCCTTTCCGTGGTGGTGCATTATCATTAAGAAATTTATGTATTCCATACTGAATATCCATTGACAAAGTAAATTCGGGTTTCCAAAACTAGACCTAAATTCCTTTAAAGCATTGGAAGCATTTATGTCACTTTCTCCGCAAATAGGCTCAATAATTGTCCATCCCAAAAGCACTTAAGCTGTCTCTCTGCATTGTTTCTGGAATAGGCAGAAGCCAGAAGTCAGAAACTTGGGAACAACTCAACCGCAATTTCCTTCATTTCCAAGCAGCATTCCCTCGAATGGGGTTAAACCGTTTAAACCAGTAAACCAGTGAAACTGTGAAGTATTTTTGGACTATAGTTTGAGTTGTGAAGTCGACAGAAAGTCGTATGCCAGAGAACAATAATTTGTCAGTGCAGTTTTCGCTTGCCAGCTATGACGAACGGCCATCAAGGACCTGGCAGCAATGCTGGAAAATGTCGGCAAATGCCACCAACGGACAATAGAAATCTCCATGCATTCCACATACATACAGATATGGCAATAAAAAACAAAAGACTGAAAAATTGCACTTTTGGACCGCATTTGTCGCCCCACCGCGGAAGTGTGCCGACCACGACGTGGTTGCAACCGCAATGGCAACTGTTGCAGAAGACAAATGTCGGGGGAGGCGTGGCATTGGCAAATATAAATTACTACAAAGTGACGGTGCCCTGAAAAATGGAGTCCAATTTGGTCCTCTTGCTGGCTCCCGGCCTCAAGCTGAGCAGCTGCCGACAATTTCGTATTTTCTGACAATCTAATTAATGGTAAGTGGACACTCTCATTTTGAAATGGTTGGCTCATGTTCTCAGAGGATGATTTCTTGAATATTTTGACTGAATTATTAGCTCAAATGCGTACATTCCTTCCCTCCTTCCACTCCTCTCTAAAAGCTCAACATCTTCATTGTTTGAGATAACTTTTGCTAATTGTATAAGTCCTTTGGCCAGCAAAGCTTTATTATATCCCATTTTCCACTTGGGAAGACCAACAGAGAAACGAGATATTTACGTCTATGGTACGTACAAACACGAAAAAAGCAATTTCCCAGAATCGCATGCCCCGCCGCACACACGTCAACAAATACGAATATAAATTTGAGAGAAGAAGCGAGCAGCCAGCAGCGAGCAGCGCTTGTACCAGTCCATAAAACTCAAAGAAAATTTGAAAAAATTCGAAAATTGAAAATATAATCCCCAGGACTTACGGCATTCAGCAGCATTGAGAGCAACAGTATCAGCCATTTGCTGCTGTGTGCAGTTTTGTGCACCGCCTGCATTGTGTCTGGCCTGCTCCGAAAAGAGTCAACGGCTAAGTCTCTATTAATTGGTTTTCCTTCTCTCTATCAGCGGCAACGACCGCAGGGGTACCGGAACACGGACTCACTCACGAATCAAATCACGAATCACTCGAATCGAAAGGTGCACAGGACTCAGTACTCAGTAGCTCAGAACTTTTATTCAAACTGGTAACTGGTGGAAACGGTAACGGACAACGCGTAGCTTTTCTGTAACTCAGCTTCTGTGGACGCGTTCGCAACGGAGTCGTTCGCTCGACTGCTTGCCATTTGCCAGGACACTCGACTTTTTATACCCGAGCGGCTCCACGGATAAGCTGCTCCTCTCTCGCGGGCAGCTGCTCTCTCGGGAGCTTTTGAATCTTTGCGGGGCTCGGATAACAGCCGTCAACTGTTGCTGGTTGCTGGTTGCGGGCGGCGTTACAGGCCGTGGAATGTCCTGTTTCGTGGGCGCCTATGTAGGTAATGACGTCATAGCAGGCTGTAAGCCAAATGTTACTTGTTAGCGAGCCAATTGTATTGAGGCCAAGCGCGCAGCACAGTGGACACGATGGAAGTTTCGTGCATGAAGCCGAAAAGAACACATATTTCCACGTTGGCCCACTGTCCTGCACTCTCTTAGGGACCAATCGAAGAGAGTACAATTTCAACTCTCTTGCGGCATTTCTCATGTGTCCGCGCTCTCGGAGGTACCATCATTCGTTGGTCAGACACCATCGCCATCCAAGCAGCTGGCCAGAGCACTTGCGCAGCGCTGGGCTCACAATTAAAAGCGAAGCCGAGCCGGAAGAGGAAATTCGAGTTGCCCATACGCACTGTGGGACCACCGTTAGGGGTTTGCATGGGTGTCGGGAGAACGCAGGGCCAGACTGGTAAGCATTTGGGCGCATCATAAACTTGCAAAGTTTTTGAAATATATGACACACAAAGTTTGGACGGGTACTCGCAAAGGAACGTATGGGACAGGGACTGGACGCAGAAGCTGGCAAATACTTTTCAATTATAATTCCCTTTGCTTTTTCATTTGGCATCTCATATTTCAGTCGCTGTTCTTTGATGAAACTTTCAATTATAATCCGTTTTGCTTATCATTTGGCATCTCATATTTCAGTCGCTGTTCTTTGATGAAACTTTGCGGCTGTAAATTGACTGGAAGATAAGGCAATGCAGGTTTTCCGTTTTTGAAATATATTTTATTCTTGAATGTTTAAAACCACACATACAATCGGAGCTTCCTAAAGGAATCCTTTCATGCATTAGTAGGTATATGAATATTTGAGTACATTTATGGTCTTTGACTTTTCTTCTCTTAATTAGGGGTCGAGTTCTTGTGGCTTAATTTTGAGTTTGATTATCGCTTATCAATGGGCTGGCAATACATTCATCAATCACATTTAATATTCCTCTACTCCTTGCCGAACATATCATCGATAATGTCCAGAAAGGACATGTAACCTTTCTATTATTAAATGTAAATACGCACATAGATCGTAATCTTCCTGCACAGAACAGGAGTAGAGCTGTGGCTATCCTATCCTTCTATCCTTCTATCCTTCTAACATAAATATCCATGGAGCTGAAACTGGAACCATATCTGGCAGGCACCCACCCCTACACGTGGACGGGCAACACGGGAGGCGTTCTATTTATGCAACATTCGAATACGAAATACAAATTCTGAAGCGTAAACAGGTAAAACGTAACCGCCGCCGCATAAACAGCGCTAGCGTTAAGGCTGCCTCTGGCCAAAACCATTGGCAGCCGCTTTCAGCGTTGCGCAAAGTGCACCCATGGTCTGCACATATGTCCGTGCGTCAGTGGAATTATGTTGGGCTATGTTCACGCCTGAATGCAACAGACGCGGCGGGGGGAGAGGGCAGATTGCAGGCCGATACAGCCGACTGAAGCTCAGACCACGCTAGCAGCGAAAAAGGGTTGGAGCCTGCGGTCACGGGCGGCTTTTGTTTCAGGCAAGCCATGCATAAAATTTGGTCAGCAGACCAGAGCCACAGGATGAACTGAGAGGCGCGTGTTAGCAGCCTAAGCCCCCTCCCCGCCTCGGCGCAAACTGAATATGTACATGCATTATTTACGCTGCAGCGACAAGTCGATAAACCTGGTAAAAGGTTTCGTTTCAGTTTGTCTGTACAATAACGAAATGATCTGCGAGGCTTTGAATCAATTAATAATTGCTGCCATACAAATGTTGAGCCCCCAGCCAATAGATTTGACCAAATTATCTCTTTTAGGCAGATTAATCACCGAGAACTTGAACCTGAACATCGTGAATGGCAAACAAAAACTATGTTTAGAATACAGCAGAGGCGTTTTTGATTTGCTTTGACGCCCCCAAACGAAGGCAAGAATAACAACAGAACAACAGAAGTTCAATTGCCCTGGCATCCAAGCTGGAACCCGTTCGCCGGCCCAGCGGTCGTCATGTGGTCACGCTTTAAAAATATCGCACACATAACAAGAATATCATGGGCTTCCAATGCAAAAGCGAGCCACTTTTTGTTTAGGTCTGTGCGAAACCCGCTTAGGGGGCTTTGTGGCTGGTGTGGAGCGATGATACTGTCGCCAGCAGAGCAGAACGTACGAACGAACGAATGAATTGATGTGTAATAAAATATATCGTGGTAGCTGGGTAGCTGGCTAGCTGGCTAGCTGGTACAATATTTCACTATCGCCGCCGCTCCACTCAACGTGCTTTGCATGATAATCGCGACAACAGCAGACTGCATGGCTTTCGACTATGCTAATTAGTTATTTAAATTTAAATTGACAAGGGGTACAAACAGAAATCGAATTAAAACACAAAGTCATGGCCAACGGGCTGATAATTAGCTGTTTAAACAAGCCTGAGAACGGTCTGATCTTCAGTTGCCCGAACCTGGCAGCTTGTGTGGCATTTTTCGGGCCTTATGCAATGCGCTACTGCCACTCGCCTCCACAAATGGCTCACAAGTGTCTAACTGTCAAAGTCGTTCCGTAAACGATGCAGTGACAATAAACAGATGGGCACAGGTGTTGCTCCAAGTGCCTGTAATTGGGCAGTTAGGGCGAGGCTAATGGGTATGTGCCTTGCATATATCATAGGAGTAATCGGAATCTATTCGAATAGTATTTCGAGTGCCGAAGACTGAGGTGTTTGTTTGATTGTAAATGTTCATTAAATTGGTCGTAGAAAAGCAATACTAAAATATAGTGTCTTATCTTAAAAACATTGGTTTTTTTCGCTTCCGTTGCAAGAAGAGGTTTCGTTGCTTTATTTCGAATGGTATACAAAAGAGCTACCCCTATTCAAGTCAATCTGGCAGATCTTGTTTAATTTTTTGTGCAAACGATTCGTGCATCGATATTTCCAAAGTAGATGCTAATTAAAGTAACATGTTTTGAAGAAATCATAGCAAGATATCAGAATACCAATTCTGCTGCATTTTCGTTCGATTAAAATGTACAAGCTTTTTATTTGATTTTAATTTGAAATAAGGGAATCCGTTCTCATCGTGTGTTTACCGGGTTAAATGGATCCGAATTAACTTAAAAAATAAGGCTGGTCAGCGAGCAAAACATACTTAAATTGAAAGATTCAAAGAAATAGTTTCTAATTTACATATTTGGAGTGTTTCACTTACACTTACGGTAGATACATATATACTTATGTTTTACATAGGCTTTAATTTTTAGACATATACATACATCATACATCGTCGTATCGTTATTGAACGCATCAAATTAAATAATATCGTCGCTTATTCAATTGTCATTTCATTAGTCATTACTTTTCCTACTCGATTATCGATTACATTACCGCTTAGCAAACTAAATAAATGAGAAGCCATTCGAATTTTCATTAAACATTCTGTTTTGCAAAGCAACTCAAAAACGTTTCAAATATTCTTCATACGAGTAAAAGTAGTACAGTACGTATTAATATCTAAACTTTTGATTCATTTCCTTTTGTGAGGGATTTGGTTTAGGAATGTTTTGTTTCTTGTTTCTTGTTTCTGGTTTCTGGTTTCTGGTTTCTCGTTTTCTTGTTTCTTTTCATTAGTTTTAATTGCAATTTGGATTTGGATTACCTTTTTCAGGGGTTTTTTGTAGAAGAAGAAGCCTTGGGACAAGTATAAAAAATATCAACTTTTGCTTTCCATTTCCACATCCGCCAGAACATCTGCCCGATTCCTACGAGTATTTCCTATATGCCCTACTTCTCTCCTTCTCTCTCTGTCTAGCTGTCTTCTTGTAATTTCCTCAATTCTCATTCTTTCTCTTCTCCATTTGCTCTCAAAGACGGGTACAACAGGTACAACAACAACAATTAAACGCTACACTAAGTCCAGATTACAATTCCATCTACAGACTCAAGAACAGTGTTAGGAGTAGCGTCATGCAAGCAGATCCTGCTGTTGCTATCGATCCCGCTGCGTTCACTCCGAAGCCGGCCAGCGCCACATCCTTGCCGGGATTCGAGGACATATTCTCGGGCGCCTCGTGCGAGTTCACCTCGTTGCTCCCCGGCGAGTCGTGCAGTGTTTTCTCCAGGCTATCGGGACCCGAGTGCTTCTCCCCCATGTGCTTCACATGTACCAGTGGAGGCTCGTTTATGGGTGTCGGCTCGTTGGTGCTGGTGGTGGTGGCATGTGTTGTGGTCGAGGTGGAGGTAGTCGTTGTTGTTGTCGTTGTGGGCACAAGCGTGCCGTTTTCAATCCAGTAGACGGGGCTGAACTCCAGCTTCACCTCCTTCAAGTAGCTCTTGCGAACCTGTAATAAACGCAATGATTAGACCTTGACTAGAACTCCGCTGTAGGCCCTGATGACTTGCATCGGCGCTTATCTTCCGGGAAACACTCTCGTCACTGCCGTAGTAGAAGGCAAACAGTTTGGCAGTGTATGGTGCCTCCAGGGTCACATAGGTGCCACGCAGCGTCACATTGATGGCTGTTCCCGGCCACAACTTGGTCTGCACCGCCTTGTTCTCGAACCGTTTCTCGCTGGTCTTCAGGGCCCAGTTGATTTCCGCTGGGATAATGATATCCTTTTCGAATATTTTTGTGGGCAGTCCACGCGCCACACCGTCATGGGATCCCCAGTACTGAATATAGTCGAAGCTGTAGGTCATCACGGTCTCCACGGTGCTGTACTTATCGCCCAGATTCTCCAGTTTGCCAGTGGCTGCCGTTGGAAGAGGAAGGTTAGGTCACAGGCCACATCCCGAACGGAAACCAATAGTCTACTCACCCAGCTCGGTTAGGTTCTGTCGCAGGTCGGTGCGTATGCGGTCCAGTTTGATGTCCCGCAGCTCGTAGCGGAACGGCTCCGTCTCGATCAGCACTTCGCCATCGTCGTAGTACTTCTCGCGATCGTTCTCGATGACCATGATTTTGCCCAGACCCAGGGGATCGAGGCGACCCAGGTTGAAGTCTGCGCCCCAGTGGGTTGCGATGCCCTCCGAGTTCGGCTGATGCGTGGCCCGATGGCGGCCAATGAACGAGTCGTCTCCAATGCGAATGGCGCCCACTGGGACGCCAGCATCGAACTTGCGCCAGTGCTTCCAGCCGACCTTGCCCAGGTGCCCCTTGTTCATCAGGACGTCGAAGTTGTCGTACTTTCCGTGCTTGTAGTGGGCCGCCACGCACCTGTGGCGCTGCAGGATCTTCTCGGTGTGGCCGGAGGTGTGCACCCCGTCGATGGTCACCCGGCAAACATAGATCGGGTAATGCTCGTCCTCCGTGATGTACTTTCCGCCCTCGACGGCGAACGACAGCTGCGTGGCATCCTTCGGATCGTAGCTCTCCCAGACCAGGGTGCTCGAGGTGACCAGCTGGCCCAGCAGGGAGGAGGCGTTCTTGTGCGTGAGCACTGGGTGCACATTGGCCTCGGTGGGCGCCAGAATGTGGCCCAGGGCCAGGAGGCAACCAAACGTGATTACGCTACTGCTGGCGGCCATTCTGCTGATTGGACTTCGGTGCTGGTGGATCCTGACTTTCGTCATTCCAGTTTGTGCCCCAGTAAGGTGGAAAGCGATCTGAAAATGAAACAAAACAACTCCAAGAGATTATTCCCGTATCTTTTATCCATGCCATCGTCTGAAAAACAACTCCGGAAATTAACTGACAAAACTCTCTACCGAAAACTTGGCTTAGTGACTCTCGAGTGGGCCAGTCCCAGTCCCAGTCCCAGTCCCAGCACACTGACCAGCACACTCTGGCACTCCAGACGTGGCGGAAGTTCACATGGTCGCCTCTGGGGTCTCCTTCACACCACAACCTCCCGAAAGGGCAAACATTTGCCTAGGGCGTCCCATTAAAAGCTTAAAGGGGGATAAACAATCTGTTGTTTTTTGGGGCATGTGGGCGTGGCGTGTCTGCGTTTAACAACTTATATGCTTCATGTGTAAATTCGCTCGCCCCTACCTCTGTCCCCTGTCTACCGTCCCCAGTCATTAGAGGCTACAGTGTCGCCGCAACAGCAGGGGAGCGGAGCGCAGCGGAGGGGAGGGGAGGAGACTGGACTGGACTGGACATGCAGTACGTCTGCTCGTTGTCCCCATGGAGAGTATTCCCAATAAATTTGTCGCTGGTTTGCTCAACTTTCATGCTGACACATGGCGTATACGTAACTTTATTACTCCATGGCTGCGAGAGGGAGCGAAGGAGACTGCAGCGGAAGTGAATGGACGCCATGTTTATTCATTAGCAGCCATTGTGTCCAGGACAAGGACACACACAGGGACTACAGCTTGTCTCCGCCTTGTACATAGTTCCTTGTCTACTCGTGGCGTAACCTCAACCGTTTGACCCTAGGTGTCTGGTACACGCTGCTACTCCACCTGCACCTGCACCACCCACGCCCCGAAGCAGTGGCCAACGGTCTGTCTGTCTGCCGGTCTGTCGGCCTGTCTGCAACGGATGTAAGATGATAAGGTTACGTGCAACATCATTTGTTTGCCCTGACAAATGATGCGCTATTGTGATAGTGTTGCCAGGGCCAGGGCCAAAGCCACCGCACGGCACGGCACGGCACGGCACGGCACAGGGATGCCAAGCAACTTTCGAGTGTCAAGAGTTCAAGTGACACGAGTCGAAATTTAAATAATGCATGAGACAGCAAGCCAGCAAGTCAGCGGCAGGGAGGGCCGACGACTGGCTCTGAGTGATGGACGAAACCGCCCGCTTCCATTGACACTGAAGCACACACTTTGTGTAGGATAAAGGCTTATATTACGAGTGGTATTCCATTCTATTCCCATTTACATGTTTGCACTTCCCCCCGCCTCCGGCCCCCCTTTCGAAGCACTCCCCTGTGAGGCAGTGCAAACCTGCAACTTGAGGCACTTGCCGAAGAATGCTCGAGGCAGCCCATCGCCGGAAGCAGCTGTCATAAAAGCGGCTCCAAACTCGCGGAAGATTGACCTCTGGCGACCGCATTGTTGGCCTGTTTTTTGCGCATGCAATAAATATGCTAAAAATAGCCAACGCGAAGACCCGACCCGGCAAATTAAGCGAACCCAGCGGAGAAAATAATTTATTTCAGTTTTGCCCAGGCATCCTCGCACCCTCCGCGGTCCGCGCTTCACTCGCCTCTCTCCGCCACGCCCTAATTCAATTGAGCAGCACTGCAGTTGCAGTTGCAGTGCGGAAATCGCGCTTCAGGGTGGAGCTGAGAGCCACTGCCAGAGACGGCGACGGAGCCAGAGCCAGAGCCAGCGCCAGCGCTGGAGACGGTGAAAGTTCACGTGGCCTTTTATTAAATCAAATGCCCTGCAACTATGTTTTGCTGTTTTCGGGGTTTCAGTTTTGTGTGCAGGTTTAGCGGGGCATGGGGCATGCGGCATGGTGCGGTACAGGTCTGCGGGTGCTGCTCGAGGGACGGGATGGCGGCACTTTAATTGGATTTTATTGAACTCTGACTCTGACCCTCATGGTCACGATAGTTGCAACAAGTTGTTGTTGCTCAGGCATGTGCAACACGAGGTTGCACACACAATTGTTTCAGCTGCTAGTTCGCTATGAATTATCGCTGCTGTCGTCGCCATCGCCATCGCCATCGCCGTACCCAAACCATTCTCGTTCTCGTACTCATTCTCATTCTCATTATGAGGGCCCGACCCGCTCTTCAATCAAACCAATTTGGCTTCGTGCTTTATGGCTTTATGGCTTTATGGCTTTATGACTTTGACATTACAATGATCCGGCGTCCGGTGGGTTTCAGCACTTGATTTCTCACTTGCAAGCTGGTGCCAGAGTTCACTGCACTGGCGATTGCCATGCCAAGCCCTGAGGCGTTTTATTGTAAACAAAAATTAATTAGAAACCCATTAAAACTCTCAATGGCTGCAAACTTTTCCCCGGGAATGTCTGTGTACGTGATGCTGGCCCAAAATCCAAATCCGAATGGGCCCGGGGCATGGGATTTTAGCCAAAAATAACTGAAATAAAAGCCCAACTCGTTCTCAGATTTTCGAGTAATTGATGGCCCTGCCGGGGGAGTTCTGGGAGTTGGCTGAGGGCTGGTGGCGGGGGCTGTGAAATTCAATTACTATTTTCCATTTTCCATTGAAAAGAAGAAGTACAAGTTTCGATTTCCCTTGGATCCCAGGCAGTAAATCAGGGGGCTTTTGAATAGAACTCCAGTCCGTTACTCTGCCGAATAGGAGAGTAATTGCGCTGGGTTCATGGGTCAAAATCAATTGCATCGTCTTGGAGCAGAAAACAGGAGAGGATGGACCACCAATCAGTGGAATTGAATTGACCCCAGAGCCGCTGTGGTCAAGCGGATTCCTCCGCTAAGCCATTGATTGGGTAACTGCTTACCGCACCACTTACCAGCCGACAATCACTCCGTTTCACATCGATTAAGCAATTACCCACAAGTCGGAGATAGTTGCATATCACAGCAGTCATCTTATACAACTGATCAGCGCTCTTTCTCCGGTTTGCTCCAGTTCGAAAACTATTCGCAAATTGCATGCCTCGGCCTGTGGAAATATGCCCGAGTGTGTCCGCAGTCTTTGTCTTGGCATTTCCCATCAGCTGTGTCTCGTGTTTTTCAATTTTCCAGGCGACTTAATTGTTGGCTTGGATTGCGTGCGACTGGGCCAGAGGCCTGGTCTGGCCGGGCGGCATTTCCTCAATCATTGAGCGAATGACCAGCCATAACCAGTGATAGTTACGCCTTTCAATACTCATGTGGGCAGGTGGCGAGCTGATCTCAACCGTTCAGCTGGAGCTGGAAGCTGGGTCTCAATTGCAATTACACCTTCCGATGGCATCGCTTACCAGATTATTAATTTAGCAAACAACGCTGCCAACAGGGGACGCTCCTTCCCACGCCATCGATTGCAAGTGCAGTCTGCTCTCCTCTCCCCTCCTCTTGCCACTCGGTGTGGCAGCTCATCGGAGCTAAACGGAACCCAGCCAAGCAAAGCGGCCCAAGCACTGCGGCCGGTCGGAAAAAACCAAAGAAAAACTACAAAATCCAAGGGAAATTACTATGCTGGTGCTGTGGCTGGTGCAGGAACAGTTGTTAACTTAATTAGAGTGCCTCCAGCGCAAAGGTAACTGGGGATAAGCAGCCGCTGAGAACACGTGTTCCGGCGGATACTTTGGCTGATGTTTCGGTCCGTCTGTGAGTGCCAGGGAATCGAAAATTCCGAGCCAGCATCTCGATAGATCGAATGTTTTATGTGTACACATCATCTGCTGTTTGCACACTCCTCCTACCTGTCTCCCACCTGTCACACTCTTTTTTTGGTAACTGACCTCACGCCCAGTTCAGGCCATCCGGGGAGGTGTTTGGACAGCTGTGACAACAGATTTCGTATGCCCCTTTCGCACTCACCTGCCCCCCCACTGCCGACTGCAGACTGGTGGCTGCCCATTTGCATGTTGCATCAATTAGAGCGTCTGGAGGCGCCCCGCACAGGTTTACTGGCCACTGACACGTCGGCTGTTCAACCCCATTAAGTATTGTTGCAGACTGCACGAGGGGGGCACGTGACAATGGAGAGTCCCCCACTGCCCCACTGTCACCCGAACACCCAAGCATTTCCCCTGCACTCAATTAATTTAATGGATCAATCGATCGCCGGGGGGAACGGCGGCAGGGCGCTGAAGTCATTAAATGAACGAGCGGGGAAGGTGTTCTAAATGCCTCGTTGGCGGCATTCCATTAATTACCGCCACCTTGAAAGCTGGCGTGGAATACTGCCGACCAGCGTGAATAATCCACGACTGAGAATATCCTCGGTTACTCGTTACTCGTTACTCACTCGGCTACTAGTTACTTGGTTACTCGTTACTTTCTTAAACTGAAACTGAAATCGAATTTCAAGCCAGGTTTCGGTTCGATTTCTTTCAAAACTGGTTCCCTGGATCTCCTTCGCTTCGAAGCCAACCCAGTTTTCAATTAGTTTTTTAATAGATATCAAGTTTTTTTCATAGTTTTATGCTAATCGCAGACTCAACTCGTAAATTTCCCTTCCAGCCAGTCAAACGGCAGGAAAACCACGAGCATTTGGGCAACGTTTAATTAAATTGAAATTAGACAAACAAATGAGCTGCTAATTAATAAATTCGTAATGCCCAATAAATTTGTCATCAATTTTAATTCGGCCTCCGGTTCCGTTCCGCCGCTTCCCAAGGCAATTAGGCGTGGAAAAAACTTTATAAAAAATGAATCCAATGCATTCCGTGGATTTCGTAATTTATATTCATTTAAAAGGTATTTAAACAGCCCAAGATTCGTTGAAGTACTGCCAATGCACGAAATTGGGTATTCCGGTTGCCCTTTGTTCGATTTGGGGGCTAAGAATTCATTGAATTTGACAGCAAAACGTGTCCCAAACAGAAAGGGAAACGCCACTAGCCAAGGGCACGCACACAATGGGAAACGGAAACCCACCATCCACCATGCACCCTGCTATCATGCACTTGTTGTCGATGACGTTACGACCGGCTTTGAGGCTTTGAAAATATAATCTCGAGTGAAGTGTGAAGCTCTAAATGGGAGGGTTTAAGAGTGGAT